TTAAATGTCTAATGCGGGCTGCTCCTTTCTGCTCCCTGCCTCGCACCACCCTGTCAGGAGATTGCATGGACGTGCAAACTGCCTACACGTACACAATTAAAATTAAAAATAAGTCTTTAAAACATAAAAGAAATAGCATCAGAAGTAATGTTGTGATGAAGAATTAAAATTCTTTAATATCATCGGTCAGGATTCTTATGGATAGTTCAGAACAAATTATTTACTTTTGATTGTGTAACTATAGAGTTGTAACAAAGGGCTTACACATGACACTCCAAATCTCTGCCATTTTGTCCATTCGTTAAACACATCTTCATTTTATGAGTTTCCTCTGGACCCCACCTTCAGCTTGAAGGTTTGATATCCAAGCAGTGCCAAACAGTGACCTCCCCCACCCCTTTTTATGTCAGCTATCAGGCAATTTTCTAATGCCCAAAGTTCTGTGTTCACACTCAATTCTTGATTCTCACTTTCTCTAATATGACCATAATTTTTACTTGTAATTTCTATAGGTAGTAGACCAGTGTAATTTGATTCATATATATGATATATATGTATATGTATATATCAATCATATATATGAGATACTACAGAATTACATGTCTTCAATAATTGCAATAATTAGCATGCTTTAAAGCACAGGGTTTGAAATATATATTTGATGGATAAAATGAATGGCTGAAGTAGAGAAAAGTTTGTTTGTAATGACGAGATATAGTTGGGATATTGAATGAGGTGTTCTTCTAGATGTGAATGTCACCTAAAATTATGTCCACACTAAGGCTGAATGGGACAACATCAATCCAGGCTTCATGGTAGTTACAGATTAGCAGACAAATGATAGCAACAAGAGGAGGTATGGTATATAACTAGAGGGTGAGCATAAGAAAACAGCAGGAAGTAAGGATGCAGTGCCCAGAACTCAGGGTAAATGGATAACTAGAATACAGTTATCATCATTTACAGAGTAAGTGGGTCTCCAGTACCACTTCTATTCAATGTATGAAAGTAAAAGCAGTGTTCTAACAGAAAGCTTAATATGTAGTAAAATTGGTGATCCGTGAAACAAATAGGAAATTCAGAGTATATGAATTTGAGAAGCATGAGAGGGGAGAGAGAAATGAGAGAGTTGAAGGTTAATGGAAGGCAGCTGGGCAATGAAGAAATAACACTGTGAGAATTTTATTGTAGCAAAAAATAAATGGTAAATTTACGATATGGGAACCCAGACTCGTGGCCCAGAAATACATTAAAAAGGTATGAGAGGATGTGCTTGGGTCAGTGACTTAGGGGACGTGCAACTCATTTGAGGTTAGGTGCTGGGGACAGGATCTGGCTGTAGGCAAAGTGTTGGAAAATCCCACAGGGCTCAACTAGAGGAGACTCTGCTTGGGAGGGGGGAGTTACTAATTTATGAAATGCCAATGTGTTTCTACAATACCTACCCCTACAATTGTTTGCACCAAGAAATGCAAGGCATTTGTAAACACTGGCCCGTTATGATTGGGTGGTTATTTTCTCCTGCTGTGACTTCATGACAAAGGTCTCAAACTAAGAATGTCAAAAATTCTTCTTTAGAATTTAGAGAATAGTATAGTATCCATAATTTCCACAAACTGCTGGATTTTCACCAATCTCGTGTTTATTCATTTGTTTAAAGCACTGGAGACATTTGTTTATTTGTTTTCTGTAGGCATGAGAGAGGGAGAGGGAAAGGAGCATAGCACAGTGTACACATGGAGGGCAGAGGACAACTTACAGGGTTCGGTTTTCTTAGTCCCTTTGTGGCTAGTGAATGAGTCCAATGTAAATTAGTCAAATAGGAGCTTGTGGGTCCCAGGGACCAAACTCAAGCCATCAGGTTTGTCAGCAAATCCCTTTATCCACCTCATCCCAGGGGTTCCTCAGTGTTTAATGTTATCAGTTGAATTTGGTATGAAAACAATCATTAAGCTATTTTTCCATTCATTTAGTTTATTCCTCACTACTACAGAGAACCTATGATTTAACCTCTATCTTGGCATTAATATATTTTCCAGAAGCTTGTAATTAAAAAATCAAGAGGTTATGTAGATGTTGAATCTTCCTTGTTTCAAAAACTGTGTGATGATTCTAGCTTGACAGCAGATTTAAAATTTCATAAGTTATTGACATATATATTTTGTGGTTTGTGTGTGAATTGAACATAAGCAATATGATAGTAAATAGTTCTATTTACTATCAGTATTCAAAATGATCCCTTGGGATGTTCCTGGTAGTATTGCTATGTTTCCATCCTTTGATTTCAGAAAGTGGGTTTGAGAATTATGTATAAATGACTTACCATATTATTTTAATACTCTTCATAAACATTTTGAGACATTGTATTTGACAGTCTGAGGCTGTCATATATTTGCATTGTCACACAGCAGTGTCTGGGATAGATGTTTGTTGCATGAAACAGTTATTACCACACAATAGTACCATCACGACCTGAAAAAAACTCATGGCATAGAATTGAAGTCACACTTAATGGGTTCATGAAGCTGTGGTATTGAGTCAACTTGACTTGGTTTCTGTTGGTCTAAACTGGTATATAATATATACCATGAAATCCTACAGTTGTGTCTCACCACAGCTTAGTCAGTTTGGTACCCTAACGAAACTGCAGCTCACGGTGAGGTTCCGTCACGCTGTCCTGCACATACTCTCATCACTTCATGGAAATGCAGGCCTGAACAAATAAACAATAGTGTGGATTGTTGAGCCTCCAGATGTTTCAATATCCTGTTGATTCAAAAAGAAGCCGTGTGGACAAACCAAAAGTTAAAGCAATTGAGCATTGTAAATTTGCATGCAATGGAACATTGACAAAAAGGACACAACAGATTTGTAGCCTTCATTATAATCATTATTCTGTACAGACAGACAGAACAAATGAATTACAATGACATAAAGAGTACTGTACTGGTGGCCAGGAGTTATAGCCGTATCAGGTTATCATACTGGACTCTCATTTCTTTATATATACTTCCCAAAATTTATAAGCCTTTCATTCTATAAAACCAAGATTTAATGTGTTAAATTCTATATATAATCTGCATGAGGAACTTTAGAGACAAGTTCATTGTCTTATCTTCAGTGCCAAACTTGCTAATGTAAATGGCCAAAATGGGCTAGCTAATTTTAACTACAAATCTGCTAATATTTTATAATCATATTCAAACTAATAAGTTCCTAGTCTGGATTTGATTATGAAACAAGGGGCTAAAGTTTAATTTTCCCCTTAGGTCTTGAGTGTGAGATCATAACTGATATATCTTTTAAAGTATGCAATGTGTCAGTATAATGTCAAACATTATAACATCTCTCATGTGAGTTACAGGGGACCATGTGTGCCTTAATAATTCATTCCTATCAATTATTATTCTCAAATTTGTCAGAGGACTTTGTCAGTTTTGCAAACTACTGATTAAAATGCATATAAATTTAGAGCAGATATTAAATTTCTTCTTAATAAAGCATAGAAATAAATGGGCTGGAGTGATGACTTAGTAGTTAAGAGCACTTGTTATTCTTTCAGAGAACCTGGGTTTGGTTGCCAGCATCCACATAAAATCTTACAACTGTCTATAACTCTAGTTCCAGGGGATCAAATGCCATCTTCTGGCTTCCTTCAGTGCCAGGCATGCAGGTGACACAAATACATGCATACACACATACATACATACATGCAGGCAAAACACATAAAATTTTAAAATAAAAATAAATTTTTAAAAAGAATAAAGCAGCTGGACCCAGCACTTGGAGGCAGAGGCAGTCAGATGTCAGTGAGTTCAAAGCCAGTATGGTCTACAAAGCAAGTTCCAGAACAGCCAGAACTGTTGCACAGAGAAACCCTGTCTCGAAAAACAAAACAACAAACAAAGAAAGAAACAAACAAACAAAAAAAACTACCAACAAAACAAAAGAATAAAGCTACGGCAGAATTTATTTGTAATTATGTAATATATGACAAAGTACTGGATTGATTGACTATAAGGATAGCAACTGATAAGAACGTTCTAAATGTAAATATTTCTTGAATTTTTCATAAAGAATCTGATTTCTGAAGATTATTTCCTTATCTCGAGCATTTTTCTTTTTATATATTCTTCTCTCATACTATAATCCTGACTGCAGCCTTTACTCCCTCCCTTTGCTCCTCCCAACTTTCTTCCCCTCCCCCATCACCACTCCTCCTTCATTTCCCTTCAGAAAAGAGCAGATCCAGTAATATCTACTGAACACAGCATAACAAGATATAATAAGAACAGGCACATAATGTAGCTAGAGTTTCTTTCCAGCCTGGAACACAGCCACTTTGCCCCAAATAAACACATGGATGCAATATTAATTATAAAACTATTGGCTGATGCCTAGGGTTTCTTATTGGCTAGCTCTGTCTTAATTAATAACCCGTAACTACTAATCTATGTATTTCTACATGGCCTTATCTTACCACAGAACACCTGGTACGTCCAATCTTACCGGTCTCCACATGGCATCTCTTTCTGCCTTCCTCCCCCAGCCTTACCCTGGTCTGGTAGCCCCACCTATCTTCCGGCCTCTACTGGCCAGTGTTTTATTCATCAACCAATAAGTGAAACATACATACTGATGAATATGCCCCATCAACATACCTTCATATTAAGGCTTGATGAGGCAACCCAGGAGGAGGGAATGGACCCCAAGAGTAGGCAAAATCGTCAGAGACACCCCCACTCCCACCATTAAAAGACTCACAAAAACTAAGCTAAACAACCTTTTTTATTCTAGTCACCTGGCTACCTTAAAACTCCCACAGTTATATTACTAGAATATATCGAGAAACATGATTTACAACTTGATTTGACATGCAGAATGTTCTCCTTCAGACATACTGAATTGACTTGCTATAAGATAAATGCTTACCATCGTCACATCTCTAGAAGGCATTGATTTGGGACTGATAATTTACATGTGCTTGCCATTTCAGAGTCACCATGCAGACAGAGTCAAGAAACTTCACCAAGATCAAGGTGACCTGGATTCAAGAACAACAGTTGGTTTTCGGAATGATGTGTCAGATGTGGAGAGACAGAAGGGCAAGCAGGGGCCGTTGCAGTAGCAAGCACTAACATGACTGCAGGTCAGTTAACCCACACACTATTGTTTGTTTCAACTACCTGCCTGACAAAGGCGCATCAAACAACTTCTTGCTTCCATATTGTATGGAATACACAACATGTGTGTAGAATTTAGAGATCAATGTGGGGAATCTTCCTTGGGGCTCTTCACCTTTTTATTTCTCTTTTTATTTCATGCAAACGGGTCTTTTGCCTGTGTGTGTATCAGTGTAGCACATATACGCAGTGCCCTGGAAGGTTAGAAGAGGGAGTCAGATCTCCATAGATGGGAAATGCAGAGATTCTAATCATCCTGTGGGTACTGAGTCAACCTTGGTCCTCTGTGAAAGCAACAATCAAATGCTCAAGCACTGACACATCTTTGGAGCTCTCCACCTTATTTTTGAGGCAGGGTCACCCCTGAACCTGGAGCTCATCAATTCATCATGGGACTGTCCTGTCTCTTCCCCTTCCAGCTCTGGAGTTACTCATACATATTAGTGTTCTTGCCTTTCTCTGTGGGTGCCTGGGAAGCTAAACATAGGTCCTCATGCCTCAGAGAAGACACTTCTGATTACCTAGCCACAACAGTAATGTTTTTATATTGTACTAGATGAATAAGAAAGTTTTAATGGGTTGAAAGAGGTTATGATAACTGAGTTTTAACCAGATCTCAGACCTTATCACAGAGAATTTTCTTTATTCAGTGGATGACAGTGAACACAGAATCTCATAGTCAAAGTGTAGAAAATAGGCAGCTGATGAGTGCTCAGCCACAAATGGGATATCTACATCTTGTATCCCTCCAAAAAGAGCTTGGGGATCATCATGGAAGATGGAGTGTAAGAATGGTAAGACACAGAGTTTGGGGAGCATCAGGGCTCTGGAGACGACAACATCGCTGTGCTCATAAATTCACAGTGGTTGTTCTTGCCTGTACAAGACCTGCACAAACCAAGCTCATCATCAGTTTAGCATGGAGTGGGAAGAGGTTCATTTCACCTTGGACAGATGGTAACTTCTGATGGAGGAAGAGTTAGTTTTCTTTAATGGTGTGGCTTCTGGAAGATCAACCACACTCCAGTGTATGACTCCATACCCAGAATTATATGCACAGCACAAACTGGCGTCAGTGGGTTACTAGGCAAATAAATATATTTTTTTTAAAGTAGGACACCAATTTGTGGTGAGTAGATAGGTACAGATGATCTGGGAAGAATTAAGGGAAAGAATTGTGGGTGAATGTGGTCAAAATACATAGCAATAAAACTCATAAAGAAATAATAAAAGTATTAAAAAGTATAAACTAACCAAATGCAGACTTTGAATTCTGGTAGTTTAGTTTGTAGAGAAGTGATGTGGCATTTTCCATCTCTACTGAAGGCAAAACAAGATCAAATGGAGTTGTGGGGGACTGATCACAATCAATTAAGTTACTAGACTAACTTCCATATGGTGGGAATCTGGCATGCCTTAGCAAGGGAAATGAGGATTTTCTCTTTTTTGGCAATATTTTAGACATGCCACATCAGCTGAATTCCTATGACACTTATCTTCAAAACTTCATATTTAGTTTGTAGGAAAATCGAAATTAATTATTCTTAAGCATATGGTTTGTTGCTTCCCCCCTCCTTATTTGATTTTGGAGTGCATATGATTTTTTTCTCTCCAAGGACATATAAAAGTCAAAATACTGGAGCTAAAGTCTCTGAAGTGTTTCTGCTCCCAACCCTGTCTGTACTATCTGAGTTCTTTCAAGTAGTTAGCTTACTGGCTTCTGACACTTCTATAAAAATATCCCATAGAGCTTTTCTTATTACGTTTTCATTGACTCTCTCCGAGTGATAAAATGAAATTCTGTAAAGGGCTTTGAAAACCATGCATATTGCAATTCCTCCACATTTCAAACACTAATCAAGTGTGACTATAAAAGAAACAACCACAGCAGTGAAAATTGCTGTAGCGGGTTGAGACTCAAGCCATTATTAATTCATTGGAAACTATTTTTTTCTTTAAGATTATGGATCCTACAAAGTACCAGATAACACAATTCTTTAGATCAAAGTTTTTTGTTTCAATCACAGGGAACTTGGATATCTAATCTTCCCAGCGTGTGCATTTCTGGGATAGTACAGCAGCTGCCCCAGCTGTGCCCTGAGTGAATAATGCAGATCACTTCATAGGCTAGGGAAGCCACCCGATCTTACAGAGAGCCCATAAATGATGGCTTTAAGGACAAAAGGAGCCTCAGATTAAAATAATAGGTCTAGGCTAGCAAGACTTCCTAGCTTCCTACACGTGAGTAAAGTGAAATTTCCTTTCATAGGTTAATTTCAACATGTATCAGCTTGAAAATTACTCATTACGAGTGTCCAAAGAGTGTTTTTATTTGATTTCCCATCTTCAAAGACAATCAGGTTGGAATCTTCAGTATGAGCTATCATGGTGTGACAGTTCTATACATAGAAATAAGAAAGGAAAGTAGATCACAAAGTAAACTTTGCCAACTTTGTCTTACTTCATATAGTATATATACCTTTATTTTAAAATAAACTGGTGAATTGGACTCACACTCATCATGCTTTGTGTGCATTGCTTCTCTCTGAATGTACAGTAACCCCCTCTAAGTTCAGGAGGAGCAAATGAGCCCCTTTCTAATTGCTTTCCCCATTCCTTTTTCTTCTTTCCTTGAGACAGGGTCTTGGTATATAGCCAAGATGGCTTTGAACTTAGAATCCTTTTGCCTCATCTAGAACTATAAATGTGAACTACCACAATGACCTTTTCCCCAAATGCTTAGATATTAGTTAATGAACTCCTTTTTTGTGTGAAAGTGGTAGTTTGTTGAACTGTATAGCATATCTTAGATAAAAAAATTTTAAAAATGCAAAGCATCATTAGTACAGAGGTGCTATTTTTCTCATTTTGTGGCTCCAGGATACCCAGCTTTGTTCATGAGGTAAAGGAGTTGGAATCTTTACTGATACATGTGTGATGACAAAGTATAGAAGATTGTTGAGCTAGATAGCCATTGTAAATAATTAGAGGGATTTTGCTAAGTAGACAAACAGGGACTAAGCCGTGGCCATGGAATCCGCTATAGTCAGACTCAGAGAAACTAACTCTAGACAGCATGGCCAGCCCCAGTTCCTTTCCCTAAGATGCTGCTGAAAGTGCTGCACCAACCTCCTAGATGGCCTTGTGTGGCCCTCAATCTACTCTAGTAGCTTGGTGATTCTCATGTCATCTTTTGATAACATCATCAGTAACTTTTCATATTTTATCTGTAAATAAGCACAGTTCCCTGAAAATACCATGTGTATGTGGTATAAGGGTAAAAGGTCAGACCTCTGCAGTCCTCGTGGTGACTGCTGGCTTTATAAACTTGCTACTCTATTTGCTCATAGTGTGCCATGAGCAATTTGTTAAAGTCTCTGTATTTGCCGAATTGAGTCCATGAGTGCTCTGCACCATAGGCTGTGTTGAAGGATTCATTTGATAAAGCAGGTGAAAGTTAATTTAACACACAGTAGACTCCAGCTATGTCAGTGCTGCAAGAAACTACTGACCTATGGGTTGATTTCTAGAAAACTTTATTTTTCCACAGTCTTGATGTTGTGGTTCTTGCAGGCATGGAGGCTTAATCTGCCTTTTTTATTCCTTTGAGAAGTGTGCCATCTGGGATTTTTATAGCTACAGACAGGGGAGGGGGTTCAAAAACCCTCCTTGGTTGCATCACTACTTCTTGAGTCTAACAAGCATTGTTATAATGGAGTTGCCTAGATGATCTGATCCCTGCTGTTGCACTCTTCCTCCTTGGCTGTGATGGCTAAACAAGAGCACAGTGCTCCACTGTTTAATCAGCTCAAGAACTATTTTAAGTAACTGACAGGTGTTAAGTGGAAATGTTTGCATTAAGCAGTATTTTTCTTTGTACATCCAGATCCCTAGGTTGATTTGTACAATGAAAGCTGATTGGGAAGTGCTCTCGGGAAGAGCACCAAGGCACAGTAACAGAAACAGGCTTGGAGACAATGAGTCCTGATACAGTCACTTGGAAGACATTAGGGTATGTCTCAGGGAGCTCTGGAATGAGCATGACTCTTTGAAGGTTCCCAGAGTTGGGGCGGTCTTCTGTATCAGTCAACATGGCATGTGGCTGTCACTGCCATGAGCTATGCCAATGGATAAAGACGCTTCTTTGGGCCCAGAGCAAGGTCATTCAGGATAAGAGGATTAATATTTACCTGGGAGGAGGAACTTGTTATTTTCTTAGTTACTTGGTAATTGCTATGATTGCTTCTGGCGAGTTTCCTGGATGCACAGGACCTATTTGCTCTTTCCTCCTCTGTGTCCCTCTGGAAGCTGAAATCTTTGTCAGAATACATGGATGTCACCTATTAAATAAATATTATACTTTCTTGATTTGTGATCTCTAGTGCAATTTCTTTCCTTTTCATTTCTCAGCTATGTTCCTTGACTTATCCCAACTATTTAGAGGAAATCTGTCATCACTTGCCCTTTATAAATTAGACCAGTTAACCACTGAGAAGAGAACAAAGATAGAAAACAAAACATTTGCTTTCTAGTCTAAGTCCTGCCGAAACTTAAATGTATAGCTTGTGCACAAGCTATTTCCTGTCTTTGAGCTTCACTTTCTTCGCCAACCTAGAAGGCAATCTCCATGCCTGTCAGTTTTGAGTGATTTCTATGCAAGGCCTCATACTGATACATTGAGGTGGTTAGCCCCAAAGAGTCCCTGTCTAAGTAAGACTTATTTGTGTTGTTCCTTACATGTAATTCTCACTTCTGTGGGTGGACTGGAAAACTGAAAATAATAGTGCCCAAATGAGAAAGTTCTCCAAGGCAAAAGTGTAACTCATGGAAAGACTGGACAAGAAGGAATCTAAAGAGGTCTTTGTATGGGCTTCAGTTTGAGCTAAATGTGTAAGCTAAACTAAGTTTCTCTTGTATGATAATAAATATAACATAAGTGGGTTCCTTATAAGGATTATTTTAAGGA